TAGAAAATTATTTTTAAAAAATATAATTTTTAAAAAATATAATTTTCTAATATTATTAGACAAATAAATAAATTATATTAAATTAGTTTAGAAACTTTATATATTTTAATTGCAAATATTTTACCAATTGCTTCTTTAAAAACATTAGGGAACTTGCTATACTCTACCAATCAAGCCCAGTGACACTCCATTTATTTTCATCACTCGAACACTGAAAAGTAAAAAGATATATGAAATCAGATCCATTAAATTCTAAGATTTGATTTACATTTCTAATTAAAGTTGTTTTTGATCATACGTATAGATAATTATATAAAAATTCCAAAATTCTAAAATTTCTAATACATACAATAACAATCATATGTAAATTTTAAATTTGTGAATATTAAAATTTTATATTTTAATTACATATATTCACCCTGCGCAAGGCGCAGGTCTTATCCTAGTTGGATTAAATAATTGAGAAACAAAACTTCTCTCATTGCTTATTGATCTTTTTATTATTATTATTATTTTCTCTCTCGATTATTCTTAAGAGAACTACTTGTGAGTTTTCAGTTACTTGGATGACTTCTTGAAGCTTCTGAAGAAAGACTCTCTTTTGGCATCGTCTCTGTAACGTCTTTCTACTTCATCTTCCTGACGTTTCTTCTGCAGCTTTTGCGGCTCACGTGTTATTTGCTTCTGGTTCTATCTTTTTTGATTCTGATGTATGTCACACAAAACCATTCGTGTAAGCCATAAGATTAGATTTTCTTGTAATATATTTAATATGTTTGGAAGAATGACTTAGATTCTTTCTTAGTTCTTGTTTATGTATTTTAGTACTGATATGAAGCTTGAAAGAAGTTAAGTTTGAGAGGAAGAGCTCAAAACCATTCACCAGAAGAGATCAAGAACTAGAGACAGTCATGGACATCAAGTCTTATCAGAGTCATGCAGAGGGTTTTGTTAAACACTATCTACTAGCCGATCCGTTTCTTCCATATACTTCTGTTCTTACTGGAATCTTTCTCTCCAAGATGGTAATTATGCTTCTGCTCACATGCAATTGCAAACTCAACTTTTTCATTCTGTTTTAAACAATGTAGCTTATGCTAATTTCCATAATAGGCCTATGATCTTACTGAGTCGTTCAGCTCAATTCATATCAAGTCATACTCAGCTCTCACAAAAATGAAGAGAATTGAATGGAACAACAGGTGAGTACCCCACATATGTATGTTGTGCTTTTTCTCTTATCACTTTGGCTTGATATAACTTTGGCAGGGGAATTTCTACACTCCATGCGATCTTTATCTCATTGATGGCACTCTACTTTGTGTTTTTCTCTGATTTGTTTTCTGACCAAAGAGGTCTTCATGGCCTTATAGTGTTTCGTAGCTCGCTTCTTTCTAGCTTTGGTCTAGGGGTAAGTTTTCATCTTATTCATTTCTCATCTTTCTTAAGAAAACCATCCTGATGAATATTGATGTGTTTGAATAGGTATCAGTTGGTTACTTTCTTGCTGATCTTGGAATGATCATTTGGTTATACCCTTCTTTAGGAGGATCAGAATATGTAAGTAGTACACAGAAGAATTACTTCTTCAAAATCTTGATTTGGCTGATAATTGTGGTTTTTCTGGTCTAGATATTGCATCACTTCTTATCTGGAGTAGCAGTAGCTTATTCTTTGTTCTCCGGAGAAGCTCAGCTTTATACATATATGGTTTTAATCTCTGAAGTGACTACACCAGAGATCAATCTTAGGTGGTACCTTGACATATCTGGTTTGAAGCGGTCTAAAGGTTATCTTTTGAATGGAGTTGCTATTTTCTTGGCTTGGTTGGTGAGTTTCTATAAAACTTTTTCTTTTTATTTCGAATACGATAGAATATATTAGAACTTGATTTGATAAAGTTTACCTTTTTATGAAACTTCATGTTTTGTTTGCAGTCAGCAAGAATAATTTTGTTCATCTACATGTTTTACCATGTCTACACACACTATGATCAGGTAACCAAACAAACAAACGGTCTAGCCTCCAAAATGAAAAATGAAGGAATTACTCTGTTTTTTCTTTTGTTGTTGTTGCTGTACTAATTAAATTAAAAGATTATGGATAATTCTTTGGCCAGGTGGTGATGATGCATACATTCGGTTATCTGCTAGTTTTTGTCGTACCGATTGCATTAAGTGTAATGAACTTGATGTGGTTTGGCAAGATAGTGAAGGGGTTGATGAAAACTCTTCAGAAAAGATATGAGCTTTTTTTCCTAATGCAAATATAAAGTTCTTGTGATCATTGGGACCACGATACTATTGTCGTTTCGGTTACCGTTTTCTCAAACCAACTCTTTATTTGACGTATTTAACTCAAACATACTCCCATTCACTAACTTAATATTTAAGAACATAAAATGAGGAGATCTCTAAATGCTCCGACCGCCCATGGCTAATAGGCCATCCACATCCGCTCACTCGGCCCGTGGGCCCATCCCGTTCCAACTGGCCCTGCAATCACCACATGACATTTTCCCGTGCTTTGGCCTCACTTACACGGTATCGCAAATCACTTCCCGATAGGTCACCCATCCTTTGACTACTCCAGCTCAAGCACGCTTAACTCTGGAGTTCTTTCTGGATGTGCTCCCGAAAAGGTAAGTGCACTTTGGTGACATAGGAAGCCAAATCAATCCTCTTAAAGTTTTTCATATATCACAATTCGGGATGTTACAGAGTGTCTCATTCTTTCACAATACTAAAGCAAAGTACATAGAGAAAGAAAGCTTTTTTGGTACTTAAGAATATGTGTGCAAGGTTGGTTCTTGGAACGTAAGCAAATGAATATAATTCTAGTCATCAAAAGAAAACAAATGACTATAATTCTATGTAATACATCTTTCTTTCTTTTGGTTAAATTGAGTCCCGAGATCCTCTTCGGATTCACTCCAAAATAAGATATCCGGATGTCTGGATCCGAACCCGGATAGTAAAATTTCGGATCTGGTTTGGCGGATCCGAATTCGGATATCTTAATTTTTAGGTCTGGATCCGTGTTTTTAAATTATAATAAATTTTAAATTTTATTAATAATTATATTAATATTTATACATATAATTAATCTTATAATATTATATTTTACTTTTAATAATATTATATATCATATATATTCATAAATTTGGTATAAAATTTGATTTGTCTATTATTTTTAAATTTTATGTTTTTTAAATAGTTTTTTATTTATTTTAAATAATTTATATTTATTTTAAATAATTTATATTTATTTTAAATAATTTATATTTATTTTAAATAATTTTTCTTTATTTTAAATAATTTTTATTTATTTTTAATTATTTTACGAATATGGATCCAAATCCGGATATCCGTGGATATTACAACTTCTAGATGGATATCCAAAATCTGAATACCCGGACGGCCCGAATCAAAATCCAGATATTAAAATCATGGATCCAACGAATCCAGATCCGAATCCGGAGACTCCAAAATTTCCAGATATCTGGATCCGTCCCAGCCCTAAAATTGACATTCCACCAATAAAAGAAAAAACATTCCACCAATATTGAATGTATTTCCAATATCATATATGACTCTGGATCTAGAACAAATATCTGTGGATCGGAAAATATAGTTCCATTATCATAATAATATTATTAAGTTATTAACAATAAACAAGAAAAGGCAATTGGCTAAAATAGCACTTCTAAAGTTTTTGTCTCCAAAATAGCATTAGAAGGGAAAAGTCATAAAAATGACCTCAATAATGGGCAAAAAATCTCTAATATCCTTGCTTTTCAGGGTTTAGAGTTGAAGTTTCAGGTTTTAGGGTTTTAGAGTTGATGTTACAGAGTTTAGGGTTTAGAGTTGAAGTTTCAAGGTTTAGGGTTTTAGAGTTGATATTTCAGGGTTTAGGGATTAGAGTTGAAGTTTTAGGGTTAGAGGTTTTTAGAGTTGATGTTTCAGTGGTTTAGAAGTAAAACATCAGGGTTTATGGTTTTAGAGTTGATGTTTCAAGATTTAGGGTTTAGATTTGAAGTTTCAGGGTGTAAGATTTTAGAGTTGATGTTTTAGGGTTTAGAATTGAAGTTTCAGGTTTTAGAGTTTTAAAGTTGATGTTTCAGGGTCTAGGGTTTAGAGTTGAAGTTTCATGGTTTAGGGTTTTAGAGTTGATATTTCAGGGTTTAGGGATTAGAGTTAAAGTTTTAGGGTTAGAGTTTTTTAGAGTTGATGTTTCAGGGGTTTAGAAGTAAAACATCAGAATTTATGGTTTTAGAGTTGATGTTTCAGGATTTAGGGTTTAGATTTGAAGTTTCAGGGTTGAAAGTTTTAGAGTTGATGTTTCAATTTAAAGTTGAAATTTCAGGTTTTAGGGTTTTAGAGTTGATGTTTCAGGGTTTAGGGTGTAGAGTTGAAGTTTCATGGTTTAGGGTTTTAGAGTTGATATTTCAGAGTTTAGGGATTAGAGTTAAAGTTTTTGGATTGGGGTTTAGAGTTGAAGTTTCAGTGATTAGGGTTTAGAATTGATGTTTTAAGGTTTATGGTTTAAATTTGAAGTTGTAAGGTTTAGGGTTCTAAAATTGATATTTCAGGGTTTAGAGTGGAAGTTTCAGGATTTAAGGTTTAGAATTGAAGTTTCTTGGTTTAGGGTCTTAGAGTAAATTAGTCAAAAAGTTGACATAAGGATAAATCATCTATTAATCTATTATTTTTTAATTAATCAAAGAATAGACATAAAGATAAATAATCCTTTTAATGAAACATATTTTTGTGTCTTTTAGCCTTGAATGCTAGTTTGGGGACAAAAATTTGAATTAATGCTATTATAGTCTTTATTTCAACAAGAAAATGTTATTTTAGCACTGTGAGGGACAATGACAAAAAAAAAGCACTGTTAGGTAATTATTTTCTAAATGCTTTCATATCTAAACTATTAAAACCGGAGTACAAATAAAAGTTAACCCTGACTTTTCCTAAATAATTACAATCTTCTGCCACTGCCTAAACCATCCATAATTACTTAAAACAAACCGCCTAAACTTTTGTCAATAATCAAACCAAACATCACGATTAAACCTAACCATTGTAACAATTTCATTAAAAGTCTTTTATCATCGTCGTCTTCTCCTCAGAACGAGGATGTCTGGGAACTCCAGAAGATAAACTTTTTTTTTTTATTGTAAAAAACTGGAAGATAAACTTCGGAATCAAGAACGAGGTGGTGCTTTTCTCCGACGATTCACGGAGACACTATGACTTGAATTCGATTTGAAAGATAAGCATGTGGGATTTGGAGTCAGATCAAAGCTAGGGTACTGAATTCTGTGGAACGAGACGCTTTCATCAAATTCCATTCTTAAATCGGTTTGTGGATGAAGCTTTTGGTAATTCCAGTTAAATTTATTCAAACTTCTGTAATTTTCTAATCTCTTTTCCGCTTTTGTTTCGAACATGAAACTTGATCGGTTGGAGATTCTGGTCGGAGACGGGATAAATTAACATTTAAAATAGCAAAGGGGTTTGTCTAAAAAGTTAATTTGCAGATTTTCATATTGGTTTTGTAAATTTACTTGAATCCTTCGGAGGAGAAGGGTTTGATGAAGAAACTAGCTCATGGTTCTTCAAACAAAGCAGATGTCTACTCTTCTTGAAGGTGAAAATACAAATGTTTATTACTAAGCTTTAGCATAAGAAACTGAATGTTTTACTTATTTGTTGGCAATCTAATGTTTGTTTCTGGATAGCAGGTTTATAATGATAAAGCTGATACTTTTAATCATCAGTCTTGAGAATGTTGAAATATGAACACTCTGAGTGTTGACATTGTCTATAGGTACTTAGTAATCGTTTCTAGACGGCTTAAGTTCCTAATGATGTAAAGAGTTTCTCTTTGGATTTTTTTCTATTAGTAACCTGTTGAGATGAGTATGTATAGGTGATTCTTTCTTCTTGGTTTTTTGTGAGTTTAACAGGTGCAAAACAAGAAAATCGAGAAAATTTGTGATATAAATTCAGATCCATCAAGTATATTTGGATATGTGAATGGAGAAGTGCCTGAAGCGAAATGCTCATTTCCAGCAGGAGGCATCTCAACACTACGATTGCCATAGGTAGCTGTACTCTGAACAACTCGAAGATGGGAGCTTGCAGGTTCTAACCTTGGTAATATCTTTGGCGTTAAAATTATCTAAGCAGATTGACACTGCTATAGTTTGTGACGAAGATGAAGTAGACTTTAGAGGTGATAGTAGAATTGCGAAGCATAGCTGTGAGTAAGCTTGTGAAGTCAAAGACCATGTCAGAGCAAAGATAATGTCTTCCACTATATTCTGTTGGATATGAGTTGTTGCAGGTCATTAAAGAAAACCAGGTCATAATAGTTGTAAGTGAAACTGGCTTGGCAAAGATCACTCAGCTTATGCAGTAATTTCACGAGGATGGCTACCATATAAACGGTACACTAGGTTGCACAACCAAGACGTGTAGCAGCAATGAGTGGTGCAAGCGAATAAGTGAAAAGATGCAAACAAATCTGACAGAGAAAGTTGGGTGCTATTCGTCTCAAAAATGTAACTGGAGTTGGGTCGCAGCTAGACATATTAAGTTTCATTCTTTACAAAAAATATTGGAATTCTTACTTATAACCATATTCCTAAGTAAACCATTGCAATAACTTCACACTTTAGAATTTAAATATGTTTGCATGCTATGTTTTCAGGTTAAAATTAAGGTGGCAAAATATTAGATTTATGAAAATGTGCTAACATTAAATGTACAAAAAAATCCATTTGATTACAAAATAAAATATTACGATATTTGAAAATAAGTTTTTTTCTTTGTAATCTATTCAGTTGAGCAAGTATTTTGTTTCGAAAATGAATTTTTGTAAAAACATTAGACGCTAATATAAATACAAACCATCTTTTACAAAATATGTCAAATAATTCTCATATCAATATCATTAACAAAATTTTATTTAAATTGTAAAGATACAAAAAGAAAATTCGTAATTAATTACTGAAATTTATATAATATTCTATACTAATTAAATTTTAAAGTGTGCAAAAAAAATCATTCTCAACATTTATACTATCTTAATTCTAATACTATTTATTTATTTTTATAAGTTTTTTATGTTTCTAATTTAGTTTTCATATAAAGTAAACTGAGAGACATAAATTCTAAATATATAAAAATTAATTTCCATAAAATATTTTTTTTTGAAAAATAAATATATATATATATATATACACAAGCATATTAAATGGCTAAATTTGTAAACAAATACAATATAAAAATGTCCCACATCATCAAAATGAAAAAAAAAACTCTAACCATAGTATAATATAAATAATCAACACATATGCAAACATTTATATTCTATGTATAGTATAAATCATAAATATTATTTATAACAAATTAAAAAACAACCGTGCGGACGCACGGATCAAACTCTTTATTATATTATTCGGAAAGTACAGTATATAGCTAAGGTTTCATGGGATACTGACTTGCCGTGTAATATTTGTTTTCTTTCATTTATTTATTTTCTAAGAAGCTTTATTATTCTTCTGGAAAGAGCGTAAGATATTACAGATCAATTGGTTGTTGTTGTTGTTGCCGACGACGCGTCTTCGTTCTCTTTCATTGCAATTTGAAACCTTTTTTTGTATTTCTCCGTCTCTGATCTTCAATCTCGTCTTCATCCATTGTGATCGATAAAAAACATGGCTACAGCTGGAAACAAGAACATCAACGCGAAACTGGTCCGTTCTTTTGTTTCAAGCTCCATTCTTTCTCCGATTTCTACTTTCCTTCTCCAATGATCCAACACTTTCGATCACGATTTCAACAAAATTCTGTTATTAGGGTTTTGATTTAGTTCTCTTCAATCATACGGTTTTAAGATTAACCACCTTTACTGACCTTTGTCCTCTTGTTTTTTGTTTTTACTGTATATTCAGAGTTTGCTTTTGCTTTTGCTTAGGTCTTAAGAAGCTTACTATATTTACTTATTTTGGTTTTGGTTCTGTAGTATTGTTTTTTTTTGTCTAAATTCTGTAATATTGTTTTAAGCCTTCTTCAGGTGTTACTTGGAGATGTTGGCGCTGGAAAATCAAGTCTTGTGTTACGTTTTGTTAAAGATCAGTTTGTTGAGTTCCAGGTTTGTGGCAGTTTCTCTGATGGAGAATACATGTCCTCTTGTATTCTTCTTGACTTTGATAATTTCTTTGTTATAGGAATCAACTATAGGAGCAGCTTTTTTCTCACAAACGTTAGCTGTTAACGATGCGACTGTGAAGTTTGAGATATGGGATACAGCTGGTCAGGAACGGTACCATAGTTTGGCTCCAATGTACTACAGGGGTGCCGCTGCTGCAGTTGTTGTCTTTGACGTTACAAATCAAGTACAGTATCTAATTTACTGATTAGTGGATGCAGTTTTACTTGCTTTCTTCTGAATTAAGTTTTTTTTTTTGTTTTACTATCTTCTCAGGCCTCGTTTGAGAGGGCAGTGAAATGGGTTCAGGAACTGCAAGCACAAGGTATTAATTTGATTTTTGATTTTTTATGCTTTCTTCTTACTTATTTATGTATTATTTTGTGTGAGTAGGTAACGCTAATATGGTTGTGGCCCTTGCTGGAAATAAATCTGATTTATTAGAAGCAAGGAAGGTGACTGCAGAGGTATGAAATTGAGCAAATCCGACTATTTTTTTGTTTCTCATTGTGAGGTTTGGATTCTACTGTCAATTTTAGAATTGAGCTATGTGTATATTAGTTGCTGACCCGTCGTGTCAAACTTGTTCGGCTGTTTTTTGGTTTTCACGATTCATGTTTGGTAGGACCAAACCCATTAGGTTGTATCTCTTTGTTGTGAATTGCAATGTATCATCCTGACTGACACTAACCTGCCAAACCAGGCCACCTAATTTGACCCCACACACTCAGCAAATCATAGTATATCTTGTATAGATGGTTGAGCTGTCATCAAGAGTGCTTGTCTTGAGCCATCTTTGGAGAATGTTTTACATGTTTTCATATGACCGTACTTTTCTTGCTACCATATGTCTATTTTTGTTTATTTGTTGCTCTCCTAGTAGTCTAGACACTCTTGTTTCTCGAGACTGAGCCTTTTGAAGTTTCTGTTGGAACCTTTTACGTTCTGCCTTAAAAGTCCAATCAGTTGCAAAACACGCTCTACTTTCCGAATGACCAAACATCTGATCTGTCATGTGTTAAATAGTACTCGACACATGCATTCCTAATCAAGTAGGCATTGTTATACACATAGACCTTATAGTCGCCCTTAACAAGCAAAGATTAGCCCACTGCTTAAGTAGGGTTGTTCAACCACAGTAAAGGTAGGTTCAATCTCTTCTGGTATCTATGGAGTTCAGTGTAATTCCCGAAATATTATCCTACAGTTTCTGAAATTTGCTGCTAAGTCTAGTTATTGATATCTGACACTAATGGTCTTCCTTGTAGGAGGCACAAACATATGCTCAGGAGAACGGTCTCTTCTTCATGGAAACTTCAGCGAAAACTGCAGCTAATGTCAAAGAGATATTCTATGAAATAGGTGAGCTGTCGTTACGCTTTAGAATCAGATTCAAACAGCTTTTGCTTATATACTACTAAATGATGTTGTGCCTTTTTTCTTTTTTCTTTTTTCTTTTGACCGGTTACAGCAAGAAGGTTACCGCGAGTACAGCCGACAGAAAACCCTACAGGAATGGTTCTACCAGACAGGGCCATGGATAGGACAGTGAGTTCATCTTGTTGTGCTTAGTTATATGTAATGTAGTGACACACACTTCTCTTATAAAAGACCTTTTGGTGAGTCACTATGGAGTGTTATGGACTTATGTGTTTGCATATCTTTGCTTTGTTCTGCTTCTGAACATTTAATTAACCATTGAAGAAGATTGTTCATGAAAATAATCAAAATAGTATAAGCTTTAACACAGGACTTTGTAATCACAGCAAGAATGAATATATATTAGAATTCGTGACTTTTTCATATACTAGTAGAATGACATACGCTGGATTACTAGAAAAGAAAATTAGGAAATTAGTTTCTAAGCTAGGTCAAAAAGCAAAAGCTAGGTCAGATGAAAAAGATGAAACGGATGCCCAGAGTTGAAACAGATGTCTATAGGTAAGACAAATGTAAGCCATTTTGAGACGACAAGGCTATGAAGCTGTTACCATTTGAAGAAAGGAGGGATGAATTTGTGTTGCCGTTATGTTTTGAAAAGTTCATGACTGCTTTCTAGGGGGGGGGGGGGGGGGAGAGCGAATAAACTAAGCTTTTGTAAATTTGGTGGTCAAAGTAGATTCCACATCATTGCAGGAAAAAAATGGAAACTATATCAGTTTTAGGACGAAAACTTGGGTTTCATCTTTCTCTGCCTTGTCGAAGCAGTTCATTTCCAGATAAACGTACAAAGCATGTTCATTTCAAGGCCATTACGTGTGATGGCCAATTAAGTAATCGCAAGTTCAGGAAGTTGCCACCTTCTGAATGGACTCATCACTTTCACTCTGTTTCCCTCGATGTCTCTGTGAGTTCCTTAGCATATTTGTCTCTCTATATATGCATATTGAGTTTCTGTGAATAGAGAATGAGGTTAACGCATGTGTACTTTTCTACTTCTTAAGGAAATGGATGCGCTCAAAAGAGAGATTGATATACTAAAGCCGAAAGTGAAGAACATGTTCATGTCTTCCCAAGGCACTGACAGAATCCTTATGATATATTTGTTGGTGAGCCTTGGTCTTGCATACCACTTCGAGGACGAGACCTATGATACTTTAAAAGAGAGTTTTAAAAAGATAGAGGAGATGCTGGATAAGGAAGAAGATTTGTAAACAGTTTCCACCATCTTTTGGGTTTTCAGGACATACGGTCACTACATATCTTCCGGTAAGGGACTAGTCTCTAGCATGGCTTGTCATCCTAATATACCTTCTTACTGCTGTCTGTTCTTTTAAGTAGATGTCTTTACAAGATTCAAAGAGAGCAACGGAAACTTTAAAGAAACTCTTAAAGGGGATGCCAAGGGTATCTTGAGCTTATATGAAGCTGCGCACTTGCGGACTACGAAAGATTATATACTGGAGGAAGCATTGACCTTCACATCGAGCCATTTGAAGTCACTAGTTGCAGGTGGGACATGCCCGCCTCATCTTTCAGTGCATATACAAAATGCTCTTTTTCTATCTCAGCGCTGGAACATGGAGATGTTAGTCGCTGTGAAATATATCCCATTCTACGACCAAGAAGATGATCATGACGAGATGCTACTCAAGTTTGCTAAGATAAGTTTCAGGTCACTGCAGCTCCAGTACCTTCAAGAACTCAAAATCCTTACAAAGTATGTAACATATCTCCTCATTTTATTACTAGCTTTTCTATGGCTTGGCTAGGGGTGGGTGTAATTACTATCCGACCACAGCTTCCGTTCTCGATCCAGGACTATTCTGAGATCCGAGATCCCATCCAAAAGTCTGAATAATCGAGGCTAATCTATATCCAGACCGTAAAATCTTGGATCCAAATATTTTTATTTTCCAATCTGGATATCAGGGTTGGATTTTTTTTAAACAGATTAAAATTTTACTTTTATTAATAATTATTTTATAGGTATACATAGAATAATTTTGAATATTATATTTTGTTTGTATAATCTTATATTAGGTAATTCTCTCGTGCTCATGCATAGATATAAATATTTTTAAAATAAATATATTATAATAATTGATTAACTTTTTAATTCAAAATTAAATAATTTATAGTTTATATGTTTAATTTATATTCATAATATTATATTTTTGAATTAAACATGTGATTATCGATATGTAATATCTATTCGGTTTAGTTATCGTTTGAGTATAATAGATTTCATCCACTTCTTTGAGTTCAACCATAATATTTTTGTTTCTATAAATATATTATAATTTCGATAATTTGTTTTTATCTTACATTGTGGTTGGTTGTTCTCATAAATATATAAATATATTTTATTGAAATTTTGTATAACATAATATTTTTTGAGAATTAAGTAGATAAAATAAACTAAACTGTGGGATGATTAAAAATTACATAAAGGAATATGGAGATAATATTTTGAACCCCATGCATATATATTTTACAAAATATTTTTTTTAACAAATTAATTAATATTTTTTTTTATTTTAATATGCTTTGAGGCATCCATACTTTAAATGTATAACAATAAATAAAATATTACTCTAAAATAATATGTTTTATCTTATAATTTTTCTTAATATCATGATTATTTTAATTTCTTTTCATGAAATTACATTATATATGAATATTATTAAAAATTGTTTTTTTTAAATTGTCATTTTTTCTTTTTATTATATATGTTATAAGAAGGCCGGCCACTTTATCATTTCCCATCTTATAAAATTATATTAAATTAAATTATTATTAACATAAACCAAATAAAAGGAAAATAAAGTTAATAATACATTTAAATGAAATATTTTAGATTTATTAAGTGTATTTCTATAATCAACCATTGTGAGAATTAATGTCAATATAGCACTGTAGAAAATTCATTTTTCAAATAATATTATAGAGATATTTTATTTATAAAAAAATAAATATTATTGTTTACAAACCCAAATAGAGGTAACTATTTAATTATCTAGATGATATATACTGATGACCAAACTACATATCCAGATTAGATATCATAAAATTTCCAGATATCCAGATCGGGTTCCACACCTTGCTTATAACTGTTTAAAGAAAAAATTTGACATATAAGTGTTTGGATTCAAGCTGGTACAAAGACGTAGACATTGCATCAAAGTTACCGCCTTACTTCAGAGACAGACTCGTCGAAAGTCATTTCCTGATACAAGCAGTTTTCATCGAGCCACAAGTCTCACGTGCAAGGATTATGTTGACTCAGTATTACACCATTTTAGGGATTATAGATGACACATTCGACAGATATGCCTCTCTTCCCGAGGCTGAAATCCTCGCCAATAGCGTCAAAAGGTATCAAAATTTCATAAGCAATGAACATTGGTTTCAAAACAAATAATATATGCAATGAACATGAACAAAACTTAGGTTCAAAATCTTAAATTCTAAACTTTAAATCTTAAATCCTAAACTCAAACTCTAAACTCTAAACTCAAATCCTAGACCCTAAAACTAAATTGTATACCCTAAACTCAAAATGCATACCCTAAACCCAAAATCTAGACTCTAAACCCAAACAAGAAATCATAAACTCAAACCATATACCATAAACCTAAATCTTAGACCCTAAATCGAAAATCCAGTAGCATCTAGGTTTAGGGTTTGGGGTTAGGGTTTATGATTTGGGTTTTAAGTCTAGGATTTGGGTTTAGGGTATACGGTTTGGATCTAGAGTTTAAGATTTGGTTTAGGGTATAAGGTTTAGATTTAAGGTTTACAGTTGGGGTTTAGGGTATGCATTTTGGGTTTAGGGTTATAATTTGGATTTAGGGTTTAGGATTTTGCGTTTAGGGTTTAGAATTTAAAATTTAGCATTTACGGTTTATTTACCGGCATCAACATCATTAAAATTGGTGTTATTCTTGCTTTTTATTGATTTTGAAATGAATTTAATATTTTTTATTTAGTTATCTATGTGGCAATTTGATTTGTTATAGAAGGAGAGGTGAATTTAAAGATTCACCCCTAGGAGGTGAACCTAAGTTTTTTTCAATGAACATTATCTAAGCAAAAAAAACAATCATTATGATCTATGGCGGTCTTAAGATTATGGAGGCCCTAAACATTTTAATAAAAGTTAAAAAAAAAAAATCTTTTCACATATTTTGGGACATATTCCTATATAAATTTTTTGAAAAAGTTCGGGGGCTCTAAACGAATGTTTCATTTGGTGTGCCGAAGATCGCTCCTGATGGTGGTAATGATGTACAGGTGGTCTCCCAATCATGCCATGGATAAACAACCTCAATATTTGAAAGACGTCTTAAACTTTATCTTGGATACTTTTGAATATTTTGAAAAAGAACTTAGACCAGAAGGAAAACCTTACAGTGTGGAAGCCAACATAGAAGAGGTAATCAATCAGTTATATATATATATATATATATATATATATTGTTTCCTAGCTGTAGAAATTTTATTAAGTGGATTGATATTCAAAAGAAAAAAAAGGTAATGGACTTTAGTAGCGGTAACGGTTTCATTATACTTTTAAGCTTTTAGGTCAAGGCATTTGTGAAAGCCAACTTTGAACATGCAAAATGGGCACAAGCCACTCACCTGCCTAGCTTTGAGGAGTACATGGAGGTTGCTGAGGTGGAGATCACACCGTATGTAGCTTTGGCTGGTTGTTTCATGTGTCTCGGAAAGATGACTACCAAGGAAGCTTACAAGTGGCTTAAGTCGAGACCAAGACTGGTCAAATCTGTATGTGTTAGAGGTCGTCTTATGAATGATATAACCGGTTTAGAGGTAAGTATCAGGATAATTTCTCCCTCTTCATGCTTTGTCCTCTTTCTTACAATATTTCTATAACATTGAATAGGATGACATGAGTAGAGGACAGATCACGAATGCGGTAAACTGTTATATGAAGCAATATGGAGTTACCAAACAAGATGCTTTAAGAGAGCTTCATCAAATGGTTGTAGATACTGATAACATAATAAATGAGGAGCTCTTGACAACAACTGATGTGTCACGTTTGGTTCTCAAGACAATAATGGGTCTTGCACAATCGATCAGCGTCTTGTACAATGGATATGAAGGATTCACTTTTCCCGAAGGAAAAATCAAGGAGTACATGACTTGTGTGTTTGTCAATTAGATTCGTCTTTAGCGTGTGCCATATGTTCTTGGTTTCTTTTATAAGGCTATGTGTTGGGTTTGTATCTTTTATTTGGTCGACATTCTTTAATTTACCAAAAAAGCTATTTGTGTATGTTGCTAGCAATCAAATTTGGTTTTGTTTCTAACACGTCCTTTATGACACTTGGGACCAGCTAGAATATACACATGGCCAAAAGACTTGTAGTACCTTAACAAACAAACAAAAAAATCTTGTCGTGGATGACGGATTTAGTTGCAGCAATATTTTGTTACTACATGATATTAGAGTACTTCCCTATCAAAGACGAAACAAAGATAAATTTAGCTTCTTTTCTCCTGTTCCCTTTACTTACAACAATCATAGCTCGCACACCTCTCTAATGACCCATCATTAGGCCTGGGAATCTGAGTTTTAACACGTGGGTCCCATTCCATTTGATCCGCTGCGGGGAAGATGCGGGTTGAATAATTTGAAAAAAATTTGATTGGCGGGTGTGGGTTATGAGTATTTTATGAGGGGCGGATTGGTGAATTTTGAATCGCGGATACCCGTCAGCCCGCAATTTTTTTGTTAGAAAAGAGTGTGTTTTGTAAAAATAAATAAATATTTTTTAAATATGGTAATTTTTACAAAAAATAATTAAATTTTTTAAAAATATAATTTTTACTATAAATATATTATTTTTAAGAAAATTTAATTAAATAATTATTTTTAGAAAAAACGTGTAACCCACGGGTCCTTCAAGTTACCCGCAAAATTAAACGAGGCGATATAGATATAAATTTATACGTTTGCGAGTTGTGCGGGTCAGATTTTTTGACAAAAAAAATTAAAACCCGTGGGTTAGCGGATCAGCGGGGCGGATTTGACCCGCAACCCAGGCCTACCCATCATCAATGGATGTTTTACAAATAAAATCATTGCTTTCTGCTCGGACCCAGCAGGCATGTTCATTCTTTTCCAAATATGATGGTCTTTATTTACCATTAGGTTACACATGTCAAACATTCAGAGAATCTAGTTTCTCAAAAAGTTTATGAACAAACAAAAAAAAATCCATAAAACTTAGGTATTTTAAAAAAAAAAGAAAATCAATTAATTTTGCAAACATTACTATTTTATAGAATAAGAAAAATGTGTATAAACTTTTACACACAGGCATATCATTTCTACAACAATATCATTTAACTTAATTATATCTTAATTCGTTAAAGTAAATTTTTGTATTTTATCTATAATTTTATTATTATTTTATAATATTTAATTATTCTTTTAAAAATAAAATTAAAATTACATTTTTTATTATTTTAAGCATATAAAACAAAATTAAAAAAAATTAAAACATACTATGTTTCAAAAATATTACATTGAAAACTAAAATGAACAAATCATTATTTGAAAAACTAGAATCTACCACAAGAACCACAAATGTAAAAAAAAAAAAAAATCAAAATTCAAATACCTAAGAGGTTGATTGTTTACAGATTTTGAAGTCATTTTTAGCTTTTGTTTTTGAAAAAAAAAAATTTCAGACATTCAAACTTTATAAAGAAATAGATTCTCTCTAAATTTGCAATCTAGAGAAATTGGGTTTTTTAAAAATAAATGTCTTTTTCAGTAGAAAAACCAAAATCCAAGTGTTCTTGTTTTTTTTTCATAACTAACGATGCTTTTTCCCATTTTCAATAAATATTTTGTTACATTCATGCATTAATATAGGAAAAGTAAAATGCTGTTTACTATAAAAAATAAATTTTATTAAAAAGCATTTGTTAAACATATAATACAAAATAATTTCTTTATAAACATTTCAAAAATTTTCTTTAAAAATTAAATTAATTATTTAAAATTTCTTTTATGTAAAGTTTTTGTCTCTACAAATCAAGTTATTGTGTTTTTGTGTATGTAAGTTAATTCCATTATGTATTTGGTATTATAAGCTTTTAGTAAAATTAATTATTTTTGTTAGTTATTTAATTATTCTATATTTATTACACTTAATTTAATCATGTGACCTGCAAAACTCAATTATCATGTTTTCTTGCCAATATAAGCTAATCTAAACTACAAAAATCTCGAATCTGCGAGCCAGCTCAGGGTGATTAAATCAACATAAACCGTTGCAGAAGTTTGAGTCTGCGCACTCCATGCAAGCTTGTCATCCATTGTTTTATTTATTCTTGGAATATGTTAGATGCTAAAATGAGTAAGGAATTTCTTACAACTATGGAATTCCTCCATAGATAAGATCTATGTGCGTTCATACAAGAACTTCACATTTAGCATGATAGAATTCTTCAGATATTCATGGCTCCCATCATTTTTTTAGTCATACCATCATTTCTACAGAACTTTCGGTGTCTTGTAAATTTGTCTTATTTCTTCTAGGTACCATCAGTAAAACACTACTTATCTTCCCCAAAATTCAGGAATGGGTGTATCAATTTTTGGTAGGGAGCATTTGTTTCCAGTTTGCCAAACTTAATAATATATTTAGATTTTTTTAGTGTAGTTATATAATAACATAACTATCAATTTTGTAAAGTTTAGTATCTGTAGAATTAGATAGTACTTTAAAATATAACTATTGATATATCTTTATAATTCAGAATATTTTAAAAATATAACTAATTAATTTTTAATTAATTATTTTTCTTTGAAGTAGATTAATTATGTATTGTCACATATATATATATATATATATAATTATTAATTAATTTTAATTATGATTCCTTTTTGTTAGTTTGCATTGTCAATAATTTTATCAAATACTAAAATTTATTTTAACTGGTTAATGTTGTTGTTTCATAATAAGTAGGCTAAACGACCTATTTCCACATAAGAAATATCATATAGTAACAATTTCACATAATCTTTCATGTTCGTCCTAATTTCACACATTTATTTAAGTACATGAACCTAATTGCACACATATTAAATATATGAATCTATTTACTCCCATTTTCAAATATCAAAACCCAAAACCACATAGAAGGAGGTTTAACTTGGTTTTAGTGGTTTATAATCTAAACCGATATCAAACCAGTTAGTATCGAACTGAAATTAAAACTCGATCTCAACAGATATCCAAATAGAGCCTGAATCAATATTCTACTAAAGAGTTGGGCCGAAACTATTTGAATATCAGGTTAGGGTTTTAATTTATGTTCATTATCAACTGGTTTGATCGTTTTAACTCGTTTGATATCAGTTTAGATTCTAAACCAGTAAAACCAAGCTAAACCTTTGTTAGTGTGTTTTCGTATTTCAATATTTGAAAACGGAGGTAAATAGGTTCATATACTCTAAATGTGTGCAATTAGGACGAGTTTGAAAAATTACGTGAAACTGTTACTATACGATATTTTTGGTGAGGAAATATGTTGTTTACCCTAATAAGTAATATTTATTATAATTTTTAGTTCAACTTCAAACAAAAGTAATTAATAAAAATATAGTAAAATTAAAACCTAAACTAAAAACTCATTATTCGAGTTTTTTAAACTAGAATTACAGAAAATCAAAAACATACAATTAAAATAAATATTTTAATAATTTTTAAAACAAATTTCAAATCGATATTCGTGTTTTTTTTAAAAAACACTAACATCTACTACAAAATCAAAAATCAAAAATTAAAATTTAAAAACTAATAACCCAAAACCAGAAACAAAACTAAAATTTTAAAAACCATCTAAACAATCATCACCTTAAAGTTAAAAACAAAAACCAATAGCCAAAAGCTATAGTCTAGAAACGAAAAACATTTTAAGCAATCAAAACCTAAAAATTTGAAGATTTATATTTTATTATTCGTAACTTAAATTTTATATTTTGTATACCTATTTAGAGAATTTTCTTGTATATCTAATTCTTAACATTACCCAGTGTTTATTATATCTTAATGATGATAATAAATAGAATGAAATACCTTAAAACACAAAGCATCGGTTACTTTCGGTCTTATAAATTTGTTTATTTTAATCTGTTGATAGTTTATTTCTTCTTATACATGTTATTTTCAAGTTTGATATATACACCTAAAAAATGTATAAAATATTATTTTCTTAACTAATTTCATTTGTGTATGTGCATTTAGTTTCTAAGAATTAGAAAGCGCTGATATTTATGGTGGTTGAAATTATATGCTTTCAGTTTTTTTTTATTTGTCTAAGTTGTAAATATCATATATCTTGAAATAAAAATCCATAAAAACACACACACAAATATTACATATCTTGTAATAATAATCCATAAAAACTCATTGTGTATTTATTTTCTCTTTTTTATTGTATTGAGACGTATAAACTTTTATGGAAATAAAAGTTTGACTGAGTTTAAAATATAATATTAACTAAAGTTTGATCCGCGTGGATGGTTGTTTTATATTTTATATCGAGTAATTTTTTTACCTATGATTATTAATTGATTAACACATGGTAGACTTAATAAAGATTGATATTTTATATATTTATCTGTTTGTTTAGAAAGACTACAAAACCGACTGCGTTATAAAATAACTAAATTAATATATATGTATGAATATATAAATTTGTGTAATTAGTTTGAATTTTATATAAAAAGATATATTGTTGTGGTTTATGTCAAAAGGAAACTCTAGATTACAATCATGTATGTCAGTGAAAGTAAATTGAATATTTGAAAGTGAGGAATACGTGTAATATCTGTATAGTAGCAATGACAAATAAATTTTCTTAAATATTTCGTCGTGATTTTTCAGTCAAAACTAAATTTAAGAAAATATATTAATTAAATAAAAAGACAAAAATTAGAAAAAAATAAGTTATTAATTATTTAGTTAGTTTTAACTAAACTGTAAAACACAAAATATATTTCAATAGATTTTAATATAAATTTAATAGATATTTCAGTAGCATGTTAGTGTAAATAAGTTGTGAAATTGAGGGACATTTTTATTGTGTACCTCTCTTTTAATAATAGAGATAACACATTTTGTATGGAGTATTAAATATAAT